GTATCACTGCAATGGCTAATCATTATAGTTATTTGGCATCTCTTCTCCAGATACTTCCTCATCTGACTATCTTTCAGAGCCCAATACATAATTTCAACTAAAATGAGATAATACAACACAGTACTTTCATCGTCCTCTGAAATCATTATTTTCGACATCTGAATCAGGGTCAAAACAGTGCACGAAAGGTTCAGCAGTAACATACAGTGGCAGCCTTGTCAAAATGTTACTCGATCTTATGTGTGTATGTCATGCAACCATCGTATCCACTAAATCCATGGAGCAATATGTCAGAGTAAGAGAAAATGACTTATTGAGTCAGATTCAAGCTACTTCCATGCTGCTGGCACATATCAAAGCCATACCAAACTCCACACTCAAACCTTCATTCCTTGACTTTTTTGTAACATCTCTTCTGCTGTACGGCAGCCTTCTCTAGCTATTGGTTATAAACTCGTGTACGTAAGCTAACCCAAGCCTTATAAACTCCACATAGTCTTTTGATTAATGTGATACATCTGCATTAGGATGTAGATCATACGTCACTTCCCAACCAAACAAGCGTTTTCAGCAAACAGCCAGTTAATCTTTATTTTGTTGCACTGTATGCTGTCACGACGTAGACAAATGTTTATCCCAATCAGCTTATCCAAGTTTAATAACTTAGTAAGCATTTCCATCAAACTGGGATGATATTGTGAAGTGGAAGTCTTTAACACACTCAACACTTACACAACTCGGAGAACAGCTGACTATTGAAATGAGTTCTCTCATAGTTGTGAATGTTTTCAGGTGTGCCAGATATGGTAATCCATTGTTCTATCAACCCATCGGTGTTGGACGGTGGTGAAATATTGACTAATAGATAAGCCTTGGCCCACCTAGTGAGGTAATATATAATAACTAGCAATAACAAATTACCAATTTCATTCTCTGGGACAGGACTAGCAATACACAGAACTATTCAATATAACGGAAAACCAACAATTCTCTGCTTGAGTTTACCCTGTCCATGCCAGCTTTTTATCTGGGCAGAGCACATTGTACAGCGTTTATATTACTGTTTAATGTCTCGACCAGAGTGTGTCCAGTAAAACTAGCGGTACACTTAAGCACAAGTGCGTGTAACACCTTGGTGCTCTTCAGTCCTTGCATTTATGAAAAGTCTTAATAATTTCCTGTTTCAGAGCCCTGTGAATCACTAGCTGCAACACAAGTTTAGAACCGCATTTCAGTGGTTGATAACAACAGTACTGCACATGTAGCTACGTATATAAGTGTCACATGTTGTGTGTGTGTGAGCTATATTCCGAGATTTTCACTGGCTATGCTCCATCTTTCTTCATGGGAAGAAGCATCCATACTAGTTCTATGTCCTTGAACTGTTATTCTCATATCTCCTGAATCGTTTATCATGATATTCAGTCACTAGTGGAATTCATTATTGTGTGGCAGAAAATGGCTTTAACTCCCAAACTGTACCCAGTATGAAGACATTCAATGAATGGACAGGGCCTCACGCTTATATTGAGACGGTCTATCAGTGTTTCTGTATTGCAGCCCAGACAATGCAGTACAACAGTTTCTCCTGTAATATTTTTATCGAACATCCAATCATTCCTTTCAAATGTTTAAAGTTTGTTAGCCTCTTCAGTGAAACATGGTCCACCACAAGAGTAATATCCCTCAGTGGCATCTGATGTGCTCGCACCTCAGCCAAAAGAAAGCTTTACAATAATTAGTGCATCTTAGGGGATTCTCAAGTCCCAAAAAGATATAGGCAGAGTGTCAGGACAACTCCAGACAGGAAGACTTTGGCGACAGCCATCCAGACAAGTCAACCTACTCGTGGACTACCTCCAGCTATCAACGAGTAAACCTCTACATCAAGGACCAGGACACTGAACTCTTGCCACCCAAGTATGACCTCTACAATCGTCGTGAGCAAGGGGTCATCCATAAAATGACACTGTGACCCATACCAGAGGATGGCAAAGGTAAAAACCCCAGACAACTCACCACTGCTAAATGCTTGAGTAAACGTTGGTGCTGAAAATGTACTGTCATGAAATGGCCACCAAATGGAAAAAGGCATGAATCTTGTACAACACAGAGGAAAATCAGCTGAGGTGGAGGGTAACCCCTCTAACATAGTACAGGGAGGAAGTGTGGTGCCTGTGGGTCAGAATTGCCATTACTGAGATTGCGATCATTAAAGATCAGGTAGAACTGAAGGTACATGGAATAAGTTTTATATTTTTTATATAGATTTGAACTGTCTTGATTTTTATTTTAGAGTTTGTATTCATCTTTAATTCAGAATGCCATCAATTTTCTGCACTTATGAATGGTTGTGAAGCATTGGAACCTATCAGTTTTGAGTAACTTGTATGTGTATTTATTTTTCTTATATATAATGATTATGCCCTTGCTCTTTGACACATGCAAACGTATTTGAAAGTTTACTTGGTATACTTGGTTTTTGGTTATGCACAAAGCTACACAAGCTGTATCGAAACCCGGTTTCTAGCGGTGTAAGACCGCAGACATACCGCTGTGCCGCTGGGGGGCCTATTTGATAGAGCAGGAAGTTAATGGTTTGCTTTGGTGTATAGATTTTAAATGTACTTTCTATTTTCATTTTTGGATTTATGTATATTCTATATAATTTATAAGCTACATTCTCGTGTGAACAAGTTCGCTTAAGCCAGAAGTGTTTAGTTTTTATTGTTACGTCTCCGTTTGTTAATTAATTTTCCGTAACTTCGTTCCAACGAAATTTAAAGCGACACAAGTTCTTTCTTAATAAAAA